TGTGTGTGTGTGTGTGTGTGTGTGTGTGTGTGTGTGTGTGAGTGTGTGTGTCCTAGCACAGTTAACCAACTGGAGGAACAGATGGACTCCCCACTCTCCTTGTTGTGAAGAAACACAGGCTTCACACATACACACACACACCTCTCAAAGCAGCATTTAACTCTAAACGGGATATGCTGACATGTTTATGTGGGCCTATTCATACATTTAATTATAAAACTAAAACAACATTTGTTTCAGAGCGCTCATTATCTGATGCATAGTAAGCATTTTTTTATTAAATATGGAGAAAAGTAAAGTTTTGCCTCAGAGAGATGCTAACTATCTATCCAGGTACTGAAGACTAATATATAATTACATATTTGGAAATATGATACATTTTATTTCATCAGCAATATTGTTTTTATGTTTTTGGAAGCAAATATATTTTATATACATATATTTTTAAATATTTCTCACCTTGGGTTTCCTTTACAAAAAAAAAAGAATAATAATAATAATTTATAAGGTTTTCAGCATTATCTGATAATTATGCAACAGTATAGTTTATTTTGCTTTTCTTTTACAAAAAAAGGCAACAAATAATTTATTAGGTTTTCAGTATTATCTGAAAATTATGCTACTACAATTTAACTTATAAATTAAAAAGTACACTTTTATAGAGATAATGTTACCTTGGTGGTATATTTAAATCAGCAGAATCTGCAACACACAGAAAACGAAAATGCCATAAAATGAAATATTCAAGTTTGTATTACTGAAAGTTAGCTCTCTTGCTAACCGGCTAGCATTATGCCAATGTGGTTCAGAGTTAACCTGCATCATTCAGCTTAAGCATCTCAGTTTGAGTAGGTCATATAAAACGTACAGCAATCAAACCCACAGCCACTCCAGCATCTGTATGCAGAGGCCTGCAAAAGACACACTCGGTAATGCAGTCAGGCCACTGACTGAACAAGTGAGAGAGTAATTGAGTGGGAGCCGGAGAATTAGGAGCTTGACTTTAGCACATGCCAACCCGTGAGCTCAAGCTCATCCTTCTGAGGCCTGCTGGTGGGTGAGAGCAAATGGATTCGGAAGGCTTGTTCTCCAGTGTGTGCTAATGTATGGACTAGGGCGCTATTAAAAGCCACTACTGTGTGATATGCCTGTGCATTTAATTATTTATCTATTCATGTATTCCTCCTCTTTTTAAAGGCTTTTTGTCAGTTCTTGTGTCTAAGCCAGAAGCACAGGCTAGAGGAGGAGTGGGGCTCAAGAGAACAAGATTACAATAAGAGCAACTCTGTTTGATCTTCAGCAGAATAGACCTGCCTCAAATACACACCATCTAAATCCCTTGCGCAACAACAGCATTTCTAGGCCAGAAGTCTCTGGTAGGTGTAACTGATCAAGTACATTCTGCATATGCTTATGGTGCAATGGTAATAATGATAATGGTTCGAGCCAATAGAGTGCTGCAGGGATGACGTATTTTTGTAGGCCAAAACCTTGGAAATTAGTTAGCATTTTAGCACTTTCAGTTCCATCGTCCAGAAGTCAGTAGTTTTTGAATGTGTTTTTAGTTAAGTTCCTTGAATAAGGTCTATGGTTATCACAAGTTCAAGATATTTTCATGTTTTATTTCACCACATAAAATACATCCGTAACACCCCTTGTGAATTTCTAAAGCTTTTACTTGTCTTGAAAAAGGCGACTGCTAACAAGTGGCCAACTTTCTGGGGAATTTTTTTTAAAGAGCTGTCATAGTCATGACCGCATGTAGTTTGTTTATAACCTATGGTTGGCGTTTTACTTCTGGTGATTTTATTCAGGCTTCAAAATTGATAAAAGTTGTGTTTATTTGTGAAGACTATCATGATAAGCAAAATGTGTAAGAATCATAAACTTCTGTTGGTCTGCATTAATCCAGAATCCAATGGAAAAATCCTATTGGGTTTTTGTCGAGGGAACCAGGGCAATGCTAACTTATGGATTGGCCTACAAAATACATCATCACTGCAGCACTTTATTGGGGCAAGTGCTTGGTCAGGCTGATGACATCACAAATGACCACATCTAGGGACTCCACACAGAAACAGATGTGTTTTGGCCAACTTTCCCTATAATCCTAAGCCTTTCTGATCCTCTGACCCCTCCAGAAACCAGGGAAAGTGAGTGGGAGTGAGATGTTCTCTATCTGTTGATATAAACCACACTGCAGTTCTCTTATTCTTCAGCTGAGAGAACCAGGGCAATACTGGTGTGCATAAATAATTTAACATAGCATAAATATTACTCTGTCAGCACTCTAAAGCACCACCACAGGTGCCAGGATTTGTTTTCGTGTTTTTACAGGAAAAAAAATAATGCGACTGTAAAAAAGATTTTGATTTACAACACAGTGCCACTCTCAGCAGTTTCAGCATGACCCCAATGGACAGTAAAAAAAGAAAATCGGAAATAAATAAAGCGGTCATTTAAAGCATTAAAGACTGTCACAACAGCATGCACAATATGTTAGTCTCATTTTTAGATTCTTCACCAATTTCATTCTTTACAAACCCAACAGCTGCAAAAAATACCAGCATAGGGCACCTCCTTGAGGTAAATCTTGACCTTTCATTCACTCTCATGTATGACTCCTACATTTTGAAGCAGTGTTGTCAAGGCCTCATTGTCTGACATTTATAGAAATCGCAGTCATAACAGTCAGAACACAGAATGACTAATATATCATGGCAACAGCCATTAGACCAGTGGTTCTCAATCAGGGTCCAGGCAAAGTTCCAGGGGGGAAGTGTTAGAAGTAATTAAATTTACTTTAAAAAATCTTATTTACATATATCACTCTTAAAATAAAGATATTTTTGAGTTTATTTTATTACAACAGAAGTACTTGAAGTACAACTTAGATAGGAGGACCTTTGAATATTGTGTTGGACAAAGGGGGGCCTTGGAGGCAAAAAGGTTGAAAACCACTGCACTATAATGTCTATCATTTATTTACAACAAACTCCATTATTAACTTACTGCATATAAACTTGACTGAGATGTTTACCTGATGTCGTTCTGCTGAGGTGGTTTTTTGTTTCCGACCAGGTTCACCGTTTTTGCTTGTATGGGTTTCTCCTCTCTAAAGCGAACAAACACATTTTATATAGTGACAGTAAATCTTTTAGAAATCAATCTCAGCTCTTTTGCATTAAAAAGTTTTTTTCTTTAAATAACTTTTTCTAGTATTACCAACCTTCACCAAACATGCATTTTCACAAAATTAAGGTTGAGTTATAAAGACAAAAAATCTCCTTTTGTAAACAATTCTGCAATATTATTTTTAAAGAACAGTTCATCCAAAAATGAAGATTCTGTCTGCAGAACACAAATGAAGATAAATAAAGAAGTACATATTTTATATTCCACAGAAAAAAAGGTTTGGAATGACATAAGGACAAATAAATGATGACAGAATTGTCATTTTTGGGTGAACTATGCCTTTAAGCTAGCACAGTATTGTTGTATTTCTAAATGCCTCAAAAGCGTTGTGAGGTCGACCTCTAGCTTCTGCTTCAGGACAGAAGTTAATTTGAGAGTGAGGAACTGTCCGATTCAAACATCGATCTCCTGACACACAGTAAATGAAAATTAGAGGTTGTTTATCAGCACACTAAGTCAGATTAGTACACAGATTATGTGGTGATCTGTCTCTTCTCTCTTAGAGAAATACTTTGTAAATGAGGCTAAATTCAGTGATCATTTGACCTGTGACCTTTAACTATTCAAAAACAATGTCATTTATTTCTCTTTCAGAAGAGTCTAGTAACAAAAAATGTATATACAAAGACTTAGAAATTAAATAGCTGCATGATTATTTCCTATGAGTAGTATAGCACAAGAAGTGGTTAAGTTATTGATTGTATACCTGCTCAGTGAACCAATTTAAGATGCATAAATCTGATTTCAAATCTCAAGGTGGCCAACAACTAATGTAATATAAGCAATGATGGCTTCTAAATGGCAGGTGGACAGGAAGCCAAGAAACATCTTCACACTCATGATAACAGCACTGAAGAACCACAAATAGCCATTCAGAAAAAAACTTTATAAACATCCTACATGTCAACTGCTGACAAGTGCCTGTCATATAAATATTTATAAATAGACTTATTTTTTACTGGTTTTCATTTGAAGTACTTGGTGCTTATAAAGGCTTTTTTTTTTTTTACAGTAAAGCTCTTTGAGTTGAATACTGTTGCTATACAAATAAAGTTATTATTACAAGAGGATCTAACAAGAAAAGAAAAGAAAAGAAAAGAAAAGAAAAGAAAAACGGATGAGGAAAATATAAAGCTATGACTGATGCTTCTACTCAAGCTGTGAGTGATGCTCACACTACAATCAGGGAAGATTTCAATGAATGGGTTAAGGATCCTGACGATCATGATGACGAGGCACGGAAATATTGTCGTGACCAGGCAGGAATCCTGACACTGGTGGTGAATAGTGCGGAAAATGTTCACTAACCTATTTAAAAACAAAATGCATGATATGTCGAATAAATTAACTAATAATGTGACATGACGTGTGCTGCCTGAAACTAATCCATCACACAGTGAGGTGTAAAACAGCAGGATGTATGGAGTTGTGGATATCTAGTTCTTGCATGTCGACACATCCCTCTCTCTTTAACAGCTACACCTGTGACCGGTCACCTGGCCTTTCATTACACAAGCTGGTTTCATATGGATGTGTATGAATATACAAGCGGTGCTCATCTATGACAGGTGCCCATAAGGAGGGAGAAAGTGGACATACATGGACTCACCCACCCACCCATCCACACACACACACACACACACACACACACACACA